CAGTCTTGATATTACTGAGGGTATATGCTTGCTCATCGTTGTAAGAAGAAAAATCCCCCTCCGAAACCCTTACGATTTTACAATAACAGGGAGGGGCTTCTCGGAGCGAGAGGTTATAGGAGGTTATATCATCAGCAGTCAGCACCCAGCGCTATTTATCCTGATAAGTAGTTTTTATATTACTGAGGGTATATGCTTGCTCATCGTTATAAGAAGAAAAATCCCCCTCCGAAACCCTTATGATTTTACAATAACAGGGAGGGGCTTCTCGGAGCGAGAGGTTATAGGAGGTTATATCATCTACTAGATTCTGAACACAACGCGTGGCTGATACACAGCACATCCACATTGCGTGCCGCGTGTCGGATCAAAAGCCGAACACAACGGACCACCCACTCATGACACAGATTTTCGTGAGAGACAGCCTCGATTACCCCCTTATTGAGGGAATCTGGCGGTCATCGTTATAGGATCAAAATACCCTCTCCGAAACCCTCATCATATACTAATGAGAAGGAGGAGAACTCGGAGCAGGGGATTCCAGAAAGTAAGATCCGGTCAGCGTAGCACATAGCCGATCAACAATTCGCCATCAGCAATAATACCAATCTGTTTTGCTCTGTGCTATCGTAGCAAATCGTTGATCGTCGTCGAAAACACAGTTATAATTCGGTGAACGAAGTCACCTTCCTCCCCCCCCGCTTCACGAACTTCGTGTACTCATTTTAAACGCAGGAGGAAAAGGGCATCACCTATCCTCACCTATCCTACGCCTTCCCACCCCCAACCCTTCCCCCTCAACCCCGCACCCCTCCCCTGTTCATCGTTTTTCTCAATCACCCATCCCCCACGTCCCCTCCCCCCATCGCACCCCACCGCACACAACAGCAAGATGGCAACGGAAGACCGGGATGAGAGAAGCACCCGAATCGCCCTTAGTTCCTTACCAGTATCCATCCCTTGTTTAACATCCTCATAGCTTTCATGTTCGCATGTTATATGATTAACGTTGTTGTTGTTGTTGTTCCCATTGCAGCCGTCATTGAGATTCATAAGCTCATCATGAGCAGCGAGGTCAGAACCAGTATGGCCCACGTCATCGCCATCCTTGGGAAACTGCTCAACAGTCTCGACGCACAGGCCCCGCCCCTCCTCAAGGCCCCTTGCTCCGCTACTTGTGAGCACATCCAAGCATCGACGATCCGCACAATCCCCCCCTGAATCCTAACCAAACCCTTAGTGATTGTGATAAGTGATTGACTGAACCCATGATTCTGTACCTCCAGATATATTGACACAGGTACGATCCAGAAGGGAAACGACTTGTCAATCTGAAGAGACTAGTCTGTAATTAGCAGCCCTTCCAACAGAACTCATGCCATGCTTCATGCACACGAATCAGCACAACAAAACGTTGGTCGAAAATTTGAAACCACACTCAGCAGCCCTCTCGCAGGTAACCCAATCTAGGTCACAGCAAAACAATGTGAATCACACAAAACGGCTGCTAACCTCCGTAGAAGATATAAAACAGGTGGGGAGGTGATACGGCATCGCTCAACAGATATCCCACCCTACCTCCCCCAGAATCCCATGGAAAAGATTCATCGCCATGCCTGTCCTCACCCCCGCGCCCAATCAGCATCATCTCATGGTGCATAGAAAGCCTACGAAGATCAACAGAAAGCACCATGAAACTGCCAACCAAGAGCCCTCGCCCTCCCTTCAGTCCCACCAAGAAGGCAAAATTCTCAGAGAAAGGCCCATGCAAAGTGAAAACCAAGGGAGACGAAGTTGTGCTTACCCTGGGGACTGTTGTGGTGAGAGACGTATTGGCTTGTTCACCACTATACTCATTGTTGGCAAAATACTTGTTGTTGAGAGTTGAATGGTAGATGCCATTGTCGTGAGCGTTGTTGTTGCTGTTGATATGATTGTCACTGTTGCAAATGTCGTCGTCATAGGCTCCGTTGATATTGTTGATGTTGTTGATGTGATTATCGTTGTTGCAGATGTCATCGTCGTGAGCGCCGTCGCTGTTGTTGAAGCGTTTGTCGTTGTTGTAGATATCATTGTCTTAGCTGCTGCTGGTGGTGATGAAGTTGTTGTCACTGTTTTGTGTGTCATTGATGAAACGCATGTCGATATTTCGCCACTTACCGCATTTGTGTCTGATGACGTCACCACTGGTGTAGTAGCCGTTATCGTTGTTGTTGACTCAAATTCCCCAGAATAATTGATGACAGGATTGGAGACACCAGCTTCGGTCGTCACCCTTTCCTTCAGCACATTGTAGTAATCTACACCCTGGTCGAAAGTCATGTTACAACTGTTGATCAGAGTCTCAGCCCGCTGCCAATCAACAAAAGCCGTGGTTCGGGTTTTGTGTGTGGTGAAGTGAGATATGGATCCAAGTCTGATGTGGAAAAAAGGGGGGTCCGCCCCCCCTTCGGCTATGTAACTTGAAAAAAAAAAAAGAAGTATATTCTTAACTCTTTATTAGAAAGAAAAAAAAATAGTATTCATGCGCACTTCTTAGCTGCTGAGGTGCGGGTTTTGTGTGAGGTGAAGCGAGATACGGATCCAAGTCCGGCGTGGGGGGCCAGGGGGGGGAGCGCCCCCGCAACTTGAATTTAAAAAATACACATGAACGTAGAGTTTCACAAATTCCGTAAACATACATGTATATTTCTTATGGACGTGAAAGTATTTTTAGGCTGGGGTTTGTGTGTGGTGAAGCAAGATATGGATCCAGGTCCGACAGCCACCCGCCCCCCAACTACTTTTTAAAAAAAAAAAAAAAAAGGGGTAACCTCGGCGGAGTCTCGAAAACAATTTGAAAATGCACTTCAGGCAATCCCGCAAACACACCACACCCCCACTTTACCTCACTGGACCCGAAACCTAGGTTATATACATTCACCATTACCAGTCCTTTTGCCTCAAGTGTCCTTTCAAATCCAAACCCTGACTGCTTCATAGTATTCTCAAAAGAAAAAGTCCATTTAAGTCTGTGTGAGTACTTTCGTTACTGTTTTGGTAGTTTTTTTATGCAGCTGTAGCCCACACCCCGGGCGCTAAGCTAGTAGTCACTGAGGGTGGGGGGAAAGGATCAGGGAAGTCCGACACGGCACACAAGGGTATAGAAGGGTCCAGGAAGTCCGACACGGCACACAAGGGTATAGAGGGGTCCACTGTTGTTAAATCCCCGAATATCAACCGAAAGTCCATGCATAACTCTTCATTGCCCCCTCTTGTAGCCCCTTACCACTTAACCAGTCCCAGTTTCCCCTTCTGGTTGCCCCAAATCCAGCAACGACTGAAGTTATGGATATGTTTAAGGATTTCAGCACCTGAAGATAGATGTTGAACTCTTTATTTTGTCTGTTCCCATTTAGTTGAGAGGTCTGTTTGAATGCCAAAGTGCTGGAAACCGGGTCCAACGTCCTTGGCGCAATGAAGAATGGTAGGAAAAGCAGTCCCTGCTGGAGGCCGGGTCCGGCGTCCCATACATCTGTCTCTTATACACATCTAGATGTGTATAAGAGACAGCTGCTCTGCTCCCCACCAATAGATGGAGCGGCCCGCTAGGCAAAAAAAAAAAAAAAAAAAAAAAAAAAAGAGATGTCTGTTTGAATCTGTTGTTTAATTGTAATAGTAAAATCCGATCCATCTA